TACAAATTATTATTACAGTAGGGTTATGGCATTAGGTTGTGTCAGTAAGACTTTGACAAGTAACAAAAACAGTAAACGATATATGAAAAGTGTTATATAAGTAAGCTATTCCCTGCAGCGTTGATGCTATAGTTAGTAAGGCAAGGTTTTTTCAGGATTTCAGGTTTTTGAAGCAAAATTAACGAACCGTAGATATTCAGGTTGTAATCATATAGTTTATACGTGTGTAAGTCACAGACTGGATGAATAACAACGCATAAAATTTTTAACAAAAAAATTACAGCAGGTACCGACACTTCGGTACCGAGAAACTGGAGAAACACTCATCGTTACTGTCAAATGATCATTGCTTTCACGTTGCCGTAACAACTGTCTAATCCCTACCAGTTTTCAAGTTAAAAGATCAGTTTTCGTATCTGCATCGTAACGGCTGATGAATTTGAGAAAAGGTTATTACGAAACCGAAACGTCAGTACCTGTTGTTAGATGTTTTTAATTATAAGATTTATGCGTTGTTACCCAGTTCTTTGACTGACAAATACAGTATCATCTCCCCAAAAGAAACTTCTGTGCTATTGTGAGTGACGTACAGGTCGTTACATTATACAGTACAGTTTAAAAAATTATTACTTGAATTCAATATGCAGGTACAAACGCATAGTTGTTTTTGTTAACTATTTGTGAATTACGCTGCGAGAGGATGGATCCAGCATGATCTAAATTATCAGACAGGTATGCATAACAAGAAAGCGAAGTAAAAGCTTTAAAGACAATCGTGGTGATGAACACTATTTATATTATCGTTCAGAGCGGTAATTTGACTGAAACTAATTGCTTTTCGATTCAGAATGGAAATGCGTGGCTTTTACATCATCCTCGGCCTACATCAAAGCAATTCCGTAATATTAAATATGCAGGAAACAGCGCTGAGGCTTAGGTAGGAGTAGGTTTAGCAACAATCCAGTGAAACCGCGATAGACTTGAACTGAGCCGCGACTCAGAATGGAAGGCTCTTCTTTTAATAAATTAATATATGCAAAAGTCTAGTTGAAGAAGTGAATTTGTGTATAGGCCCGCATTAAATAATTATCTTTTATCTTCGAGAATATGTTACTTAGAAATGACCAGTTTATTTTTTAGGAGTGCTTGAAACGTAACTCGGCGTTGGGCAATACAACGATTAACATGAAGATCGAACGCATCAAGCATCAGCAGCACGAGTTCATTCTGAACGTCGGCAAGCACGAGGTACGGGTGTTTTGTTCGAACAAGAAGGAGGGGAAACAGAAGGCGGCTCAGTCAATGCTCGAGCGCCTGCATCCACAGATCAAAACTTGGGGATCATTGATTCGGCTTTATGGTTACGGTGCCCAGCGACGCCTACAAGAAACGCGTAAGGAGAAGGACAGCATCATCCGGCTGCAAAGTCAGAGCAAGCGGCAGCCGAACGAGCCGAACACCGCGATTCTAAGCAAGCTGCGCAGCGAGATGAAGAAACTCTACGACAAGTACAAAAGAGGTGAAAGCCCGACCAATTCGGCCAACGTGTCGACCGTCATCGTGAAAGGTATTGACATATGACAAACGTAAATCAAACGGGTCACTTTGGTTAGTCGGTCAGCGGTGACCACCCCAACGACTTATGATCACCTGACCACGCGGAATGTCCTTCACCGAATGACTACAGTTTCTTGACTTTCGACCTTACCGCCTTTCTTCATTCAGAACAAGCATTTGACAACCTTCCGCGTTTTCTGCTCTGATGTGTACGCTCACTGCCATGAAAATAAATGCTCTTTTCGCTTTACTTCCGCCAGTGCATCCGTTTTAAAGCGACGTTATAGATGAGATATGTAATTAAATTTAGCCATTTTATTTTTTTTTTGACATCTTGCATCTATGTGAATACATCGTGGCATGATTACACACTAAAATCCTGTCACGCAAAACAGGGAGTTAAGTGTGCAGTGTGACCACCGCAGCAAACATTGTCCAGCTATCTTTTTCTGGTGAAAAAACTAATTTTCCAAAAAAAAAACAACACGAACCCTGCTGCTTGTAATGTTGAAACTCATACCGCACGCTGCACGATAAGAAGTCCTTCAGTTACGTCCGGGAAACGCCATGTAATGCTGTTTATTTCGTTACTAAATTACTGTACGGAATATCCCTAACATTATGGCTTTATTCTGATCTCTGTGCATATACATATGTGGAATCCAATTTATTGAGTTCACCTGATTTTCTCAGCGCAGATACTTTGTCAAACGTCAGAATTTGCTGCCCAATCCGGAAAATTAAACTTATTGAATGATATTAACATGTTATACGTACTGTTGATTATCAGCGGTAGATCAAGGCGAATTCGGACCATATGAGGAGCTCGCTTGACATTCCTTTCACCCAGTCTCGTATTCCATATCTTAATTTTCCATGCCGT